ATTAATGGGCCATGTTGTCAAATGAGTGGGCCATTCGTTTACAATAAAAACAAAAAATAAAAAAGTGTATATTTCACTGTACTTACAAGTATGATTCTAACTAATATCATGGATATTGTTCCTGTGATTTTGTAATTTCAATTTCAATGAATATACAATAACTTCTTCCAAACCGGGCAATATTTACGATAACCTTTATTTACAATGTTAAAACTGGTACTGTTCCCTTGTTCATGTTGTTCATGTTCATGTTTTTTTTTTACATTAAATTTGGGTCTTCGTCGATACCATACTTATTCCAGACGTTCCGTATTAGAGGAAGTTTCTGGCATTTCATTTGCACTTGTATTATTATTACTTCATCGCGATGACAAGAATAACAGTAGAGAAAAACGTTAATTGATAAGACACGACAACAATTCGCTGAAGGCATGTTTACAAAATGTCAAAACGAGCCAAAGACCAAAAAAAATGACAAGGACAGTTAAGCCCCTTTTTTCGGAGACAAATACTATGCTATTCATAAAAAGGCTTTTGGGTTTTTCAATCGAAATAATAGCAAGCTTACTGAAAAGATTATAATTAGAGAAGAATTCTCGCCTGTACTAGCCAATTTTCACAAATTTAAAGTCGTTTATAAAAAAATATATCATGAATGATGGTTAATTACGTTTTTTGGGTAATCAGTCATACCGCATGTTGCTATTATTACCATAGGAAAACACCCGAGACGTCCCAAAAATATATAGGTGCTCCTATCATTGGAGTAAACACTACACAGTTGTGTACTCACAAATGGCGGCACGAAATACGATCGGAAAACCATTTGACGATATCTCAACGTTTCAAAACGAAGTGAAAAATATCATGCGCCACGCGGGCGCTTACATTTGTCAATCTATGCGCCATTTCTGGTCGATAAGCGCAATTGGCGCAAGGCGCACGTCCTTCCCGATCACTGGAGTTGTGGTCCTTGACATGACATTCAACCACATGTGGCATGCGCGTGTATGTAAACAAACATTCTCGTTATCAGCATCTACATGATGAACAGGAATGGAATCTTATATTAATTGTTCAAACAGTATAGGATTTAATTTTTATCCCATTACAACGCATTTCACTTTTTAAATTTTAAAAACTGCTCGCGTTTCGGCAGTATGCTAATAAGTTTATATGAAGACGATATCCATATCCTTTGCAGCAGCACGGCTTCATGTCAGCCCATCTGACTGTCGGATTAACGGACAGTCGGATTATCGGACCGTCGGACTATTGGTCTGTCAGACTTCTGGCCTGTCGGAATTTCGGGGTGTCAGATTATAGCTACGCTCCGGAAACGGAGGTTGACTGAAAATTTTGAGGACGGAACCACTTATTTGCGCCACGTTTACATTATACGTTGTGTATGGTGCAAATACTAAACGGAATCGAGCAACTGGTGTCTTCCTTATTATATGGCAGATAAAACAACAAAATAAATGAAGATTAAAAGTTGTTTTTATTCAAAATTCAACACAAATACAATAATTTACACCTTTTACCTGTTAATTACCTGAAAATGCAGGTAGCTTGATGAAAATTTTACAAAAATAATTGCATAACATTACAGTTCATGCTCTCCTTGGCATTTTTCATGCACTAACTTTGTCTGTATCTCTAATAATAAAAAAATCAATTTGCAATAGCATAGTGTATTGCACAAAAGCAAAAGATTGAATATAAATTCAAATCATATAACCAATTCTAAGTTCTCGACTACAGTTAATCTGTGTCAGTAACCTATTATGTGTCAAAGATTTAATTACAATCCAAATTCAGACCTGTATCAAGCGCGAATACTGTGTCCATTTTTGCCCCAACTGTTTAGGGTTGGACCTTTGCGGTCGTATCTAGCTGCGCTCGGCGAAGCAATTTATTTTCTTCATGCTTGAAGATATTGATTTGATATTTGGTGTATTGCTTTATCATGACAAGTTACAGATCAAGTTCAAATTTTGTTCCGGTCTGATGATTTTGTGCAGAGTTATGGTCCTTGGACTTAGAAAATTATCTCAAATGATCAGTTTTCCGCACTTTTTTCGTCATGCTTGAAGATATTGATTTGATAATTGGTATATAGTTTTATCATGACAAGTTACAGATCAAGTTGGAATTTTGTTACGTTCTGATGATTTTGTGCAGAGTTATGGTCCTTGGACTTAAAAAATTCATTAACAAAATCAGTTTTCCACACTATTTTTCATCATGCTTGAAGATATTGACTTTATTTTGTTATATACTTTACACCATGACAAGTTATAGATCAAGTTAGCATTTTGTTCCAGTACAATGAATTTTTAACCAGTAGGGCAATATGTATTGCCTTGCAATACTCTCAGAATGCTTGTTTCATCATGCTTGAAGATTATGATTTGATAATTGGTATATAGTTTTATCAAGACAAGTTACAGATCAAGTTTGAATTATGTTCCAGTCTGATGATTTTGTGCAGAGTTATGGTCCTTGGAGTTAGAAAATTCATTCAAATAATCAGTTTTCCACACTTTTTTTCGTCATGCTTGAAGATATTGACTTGATATTTTTTATATAGTTTTCACCATGACAAGTTATAGATCAAGTTAGCATTTTGTTCCAGTACAATGCATTTTTAACTGGTAGGGGACTATGTTTTGCCATGCAATACTGTCAGAATGCTTGTTTTTATATGACCGCAAAATTTTTTAGGGGTTTGTATAATGCTATGATGTCGTCGTCTGCGTCGTCATCCGAAGACACATTTGGTTTCCGGATAATAACTTTAGTTTAAGTGAATGGATCTCTATGAAATTTTACAAGAAGGTTCAATACCACAAAAGGAAGGTTGGGATTGATTTTGGGGGGGTTATGGTACCAACAGTTTAGGAATTAGGGGCCAAAAACAAGCATTTTTGTAGTTTCCAGACAATAACTTGTGTGTAAGAGTATTGATCTCTCTAATATTGTACCACAAGGTTCCATATCTCAAAGGGAAGGCTGGGATTGAGTTTGGGGGTAATTGCCCCAAACATGCAGGAATTAGGGGCAAAAAACAAACATTGTTCTAGTTTCCAAACAATAACTTGTGTTTAAGTGTATGGATCTCTCTCAAATTTTAGTACAAGGTTCCATACTACAAAGGGAAGGCTGGGATGGGGTTTTGGGGGTAATTGCTCCAAAGGGGGGGGGGGGGGGGGGGGGGATTTTTTTTCCAATTTTTTAAGGGGTTCATATTTTTTTTTCAAAATTTTTTCAAATTTCAAATTTTTGAAAAGTTTCAAGAAGAAATCTTCATTTGCACAGTATTGTGCAAAAGATTTTTAAGATCTTTGACCACATTTATTTTGTGTCAGAAACCTTTATAATGTCAAAAATTTGATCACAATCCAAATTCAGACAGTATCAAGCTTGAATATTGTGTCCAAAAATGCCCCCAACTGTTCAGGGTCCGACCTCTGCGGTCGTATCAGGCCGTGCTCAATGAAGCATTTTATTTAAATCATTCCAATAGAAAAATTTTACAAGCAAATTCTTACTAGAATCTCCACTCTTTTTGGAAGCATCTGCAATCATCATCATAGTAAAATTGAGAATGGAAATGGGGAATATGTCAAAGAGACAACAACCCGACCAAAGAGTATATTGTATGTTTTTAAAATTGCTTAAGGACATACACAATTTCTGGATCTTGTCATTAAATTCTTAATTTGAAATCTCCAACAATGGAAACTTCATACTTAAAATAACAACACAAGTGACCATTTCTCGATTACTGTTGTCAATTTTCCTCTTTTAGAGGGTTATTTTCCTTTGGCTCCTTCCTTGTATATTTCCAAGCCTATGTGCTACAACCTTTATGGGAAAACATGTTTTGTTTTTATATGACTGCAAAAAATTTTTGCGGTTGTATGTTGGTATCATGACGTCGTCCGCATCAGCGTCATCCGAAGACATTTGCTTTCCGGACAATAACTTTAGTTTAAGTGTATGGATCTCTATGAAATTTAATCAAAAGGTTCAATACCACAAAAGGAAGGTTGGGATTGTTTTTGAGGGTGATGGTCCCAACCGTTTAGGAATTAGGGGCAAAAAAGGGGCCCAAAACAAGCATTTTTCTAGTTTCAGGACAATAACTTGTGTATAAGTATTTTGATTTCTTTAAAAATTAAATTATCAGTTTTCTTTGATATGCTGAATCTAATTGTGTCTTTAGATTTTTTAATTTTGGGGCCTGTTTTCAGATTGGTCCACATTAAGGTCCAAAGGGTTCAAAATTAAACTTTGTTTGATTTAAAAAATAATTGAATTGTTGGGTTTCTTTGATATGCTGTAAATAAGCATGTATTTAGATTTTTGATATTGGGCACAGTATTCAAGTTGGTCCAAATTGGGGTCCAAAATTAAACTTTGTTTGATTTCATCAAAAATTGAATTATTGGTGTTCTTTGATATGCCCAATCCAACAGTGTTTTATGTTTTTGATTTTTGTGGCAGGTTTGTTTGTTACTCTGTATAAATTAATTTTCAAAATGTTATATAAATATATAATTTTCTTTTAAAATGCGAAACCCCTTTAAAAACTTAGCTAATATGGTCCATTCATAAATAAATGAATTAAATTCTTGGTGTACTTGGATATGCTGAATATAACCGTGTATTTAGATTTTGGATATTGGACCATAATAGGTAAAAGGTAAAATATGATTTCAAATTTTTCAGTTCTTTGACCACATTCATTCTGTGACAGAAACCTATGATGTGTCAAATATTTAATCACAATCCAAATTCAGAGCTGTATCAAGCTTGAGTGTAGTGTCCATACTTGCCCCATCTGTTCAGGGTTCGACCACTGCTGTCGTATCCAGCTGCGCCCAGTGAAGTATTTTATTATACACATTATAAATGATTTTTTTTAAGATCCTGATCTCTATGAAAAGATTTACATTATGTATAAGCATTGTATCAAAAATTTAACAAGTGCAACCAATATAAATATTTTTAATTTACTATGTCAACAACAAACAAATAAACTCTTATTAAGAATCTAACAGTTATTTATGTAGATATATACATGATATAGGAATGCACAACAATATATGTACAAATTGTTATTTAAAGATAAGCTTGGTTTGTCCTCCTCTAATTCCAGGTTGTTTGACATAGGCTAGTTTCCTCTTTTTATTTGGAGTTGATCCATTATTTGTTAGAATTAATCTGTTGGTCATAACTGAAAATAAAATACAGATTTACAAGAATGCATTAAAAATCATGGCATTACTGAGAAAATATTACAAACAAGAAATGTACTGTAGCAAAAAGTTTAATACCAAATAGGCTTATGTTTTTTCTCAAAGTGGAAAATTTGAATATTTACAAAATTTTCCTCGACCAGTTATCATGTAACCTGGATGCACATTTTGAACAGCTGGTTAAATATTAGTCTCAATGATATTTATCCCAAATTTTCATATTAGAAGGAGGGTGATTCTCTATGCATCAACATTTATGCCACATCTTTATATAAGAAAGGAGAGGTTTACTATCAACATACCTTTTCTTTGATTACCATTAAAATTACTGTAATTTTCCTTGTCATCATTTGATACCTGAAAAATTAAAAGTAAAGATGTAAAATATTGGACCTTCATGTCCATACCTCTTAAAGAGTTTCAGGTTACATAAATTCCTATAGTTAATAAATTGAAGTTTTGGCGAATCACTCTTTATATACTTATAATGATCAATTTTTTATAACAAACCTTCCATGATTTTTTACCAATGAGATTCCATACATAAAATTTTTATCATTTCTATTGTCTGAAAAACAGGTGTTACATGTAACACCCTAAGTTTGCTATCATCATCACTTTGTTAGGTGCATATTAATTGTTTAAGTGCTAAAGGTTAGATATCAACAATCAAAGTCAACAACACAGTAGGAAATCTAGTGTCAAAATATTACCTCCCCTGTAAAAACTGAAAACTTGATCTTTTCAATGTTTGTTCTGTTTTAGCAAGGATGCTATTAATTATAAATTCACAAAAAAACATTCTGGTAAATAGTAACAATAAAAATTAATTGAAATAAAAAACAAAATTTTCAATATGATATTATCATTTCCAGGAAGAAGCAAGAAGAGGCACTTACCATCCCTTATACATGTACTTTAAATACCCAGCTATTTAAATACCAACTGATACCAAGCTAAATTCCAACTAAATACCAGCTAATGCCCAGCTTTATATAAGATAATACTAAGCTAAATAGTTTTTCCATTGTTTTATTGTATCCTTTCACTGCAAAAGGAGGAAAGTTAACAGAAAGACAAAAAGCAGACGATGAACATGAGATAAAATAACAGAAAGACAGGCAGCAGATGCCAACTGATAGTAAAAGCTCACAAACCAACAATTTTCCTAAATCTACAAATATAGGCATTCATGAATATCTATATCTTCAAAGTAAGTATTACTAGTTAATGAGTAAATTCATAATGTACAGAAAAATAAGTACCTGCGTCCTATCTATATCATCTAGATAATCAAGATCCATTGGAGGTGAGTCATAGTCTTCCCACTCTTTATGTTTATTTGGTGCCCTATGCGTATTATCTCTTGTCATTCTAACTAAAGGAGATTGATGTATTTGATTGGTCTGTTCACAATACTCATCATCACAATAAAAATTCTGTGGAGTCTGTCCGCTGTTTTTCATGTTTGTCCATTGATTATCTACTTCAACAGGTCTAACAGAATGATCAAACTTTTGTGGAGATTGTCTGTTGCTTTTCATATTTTTCCATTGATTATCCATTTCAACAGGTCTATCATAATGATCAAACCTTGAATTTTCCATTTCTCTGGTACATCTTGGCATCTGTCTTGTTCTATTGTTACCATTATTCCTCATATTATCGATAGGTCTGAATATTTCACGACTGTTATTGAGAGCTGCTGTTAAGCCATCAACCAAATCTTGATCTATTCCTCTTTGCAACCTTTCTTCTGATTTATATCTCTTTTGGTTATTTGGTCTTACTAGAGAAAAATTCTGATTATTAAATGGTTTAATTTGTCTGTTGCTGCTTTCATGTTCTCTGTCTTGATTAAATTGTGTAGAAACTGGAATCATCCTTTCAGATTGTTGGATTCTTCTTTCTTCTTCTACATAAAATTATAAAGTATATTAACATGAAACAATGAAATATAAAAATAAACAAAAATATAATCAACATCTTACTTTTAGGTCTTACACAATATAATTCAAAATAAAATTTCATGGTGGTGTTTACAATATTTTATGCATGTTGGAAAGTTTTATTACATGGAGGCCCGTTGTCATTCAAAAGTTTATTAATTAAGTAGAACATCAGAACCTGACACTGGATTTTCTTACCTATATTCACTTCATGTGTTTTTTTCCAATTGTTGTGCACAACACATTGTAAAACACAAACAATGACACTAGTTTTGAATGACCTAGTTCAATAGAATTTTCATTTTCAAGTGCTTTGTCCAAGAAGTACACAGGAAACCATGTTTGTTATGATAATAAACAAGATCAAATAGTGTAAATAAATGTACCCATACAGTTGGAATCTTATAATATAACTCACCAAATGAGGGATTACTTTTTGTTTCCCTTCTTAGGGGTTGTGCTAAACCAACACTGATTCTCTGTGAAAAGGGTCTTGTTGGACATACACCAAATCTTGGAGATTGGTATGCTTGTTTCAGAATTTTTCTTGTAGTTTCTGTCAGATCAGCAGTAAAATTTCTTGTTCCTGAACTTTTTTCAGAAATGACATCTTGACCATCTTCCATCATTGAAATTTGTTCTCCTGCATCTGCATTTCTACTGTCTCTATGTCTCTCATTCTGGCTTTTTGCAGAATCAGTTATTTCAGTCTGTTTAAATTGAGAATACATATTTGGATTTTTGTCATCAACACTAGCTTTGTTGATGTGTTTTAAAACACATCTCTGACTTGGTGTTACAGGCTGTATTGATGGAAAGACAATATGTCTACCATACTGGTCATTTTGTGTTTGATTTACATTGTTTCTCCCTCTAACATTTTGTCTTTTATATTGAAGTTGTGCAGTTTCTGGTGTAGCTATTCTTTCAGCATTTGATCTTGCATCTGTTAAGTTAATGCTGTCATTTAAAGGCTCAGCAACATACAGTGGAGTTTGGTTTCTGTATTTTGTTAAAATAATATTATCTGAACAAATAGATTTCTCTATCTCCAATCTTTTCAGCCAATGTTCATTTCCTTCAATTTCAGCCTTCTGATATTCGTTCATTTTTACAGATGACTGTGATAAAGATTCTTCTGTACCTTGTGTATCTTGATCTTCACTCGAAAATCTAAATCGATGGTTTTCAAATCCATTTGGATTCATTTCATATGTACCAGGTCTCAGCTGCTGAGAACCATCAAAATGTTTTCTATTTTTAGTCTGTAGAACTGGTCCCAGCTGCAAATGAGAGGAATTATGGTTCCCTTTTCTACCAAGACCTTTTGTTACAGATTGCTCGCTTGCATCCATTAACATATTTGATTTTATACCACTTATAACAGGTGGTTTCAACGTATTATCTGAATATCCAAAATATTTGCTACTTGAGGACACAGGTTCTAAATTATTGCATTCTGTATCATAAATATGTTGGTCATCTGAATCCTTGTCAATAGTAATGTTGTTGTTTTGATCATGCTCCTCAGATAAACTGTTAAGTGTTTGATTCTGTGTAGACTGTAATGTCTTACTTTGCACTTTTGAATTCAATCCTTGGTTACTATGTATTATGGAAAATAACATCTGAAAAAGAAGAATATAATTATTTACTTTATTATTTTTGGAATAATAAAGATATGCCTCAATAGATATTTCTTCTCTTGTAATCTATGTTATATATTTCATCAAACAAGTGTGCATGCATCTTAACTTAAACTATTAACTTACTACATGTTCAAAATTGCTGTTCAAACAATATTAAAGAAACTGTTACATGGTACTTTTCAATATTTAATGTACAATACTATTATCATTTTAAGATTTTTAAGTAATTTGAACTCACTTCTATTATCCTTTGTGCAAACATAGGTAAAGTTTTCATCAGATTGTCTTTTGAACATAACATTAGTTCTTTTAAAGTCAGTTTCTTCAGAATAACCTGGCAACTGTAATAAAACAAAATAAAAGGAGACAGGTCATCTTTTTGTTTCAAAATAAAATGTATATATCAATATAAAAACAATCTCCATATCAACAGCCTTACACTTAAAAATGTCATTATTATGTTGCATAATTCTTCTATACAAAGTAGATATTTAGGTACAGGTTTCCCGAATATTGTTAAGTTACAGATTCTTAAATATCATTATATTCTTAATTTCACAAAAACAAGTTTTTCAGTAATGTTGAATCTTCATTTTTATACGACCGCAAAAAAATTTTGAGGTCGTATATTGGTATGACGTTGGCGTCGTCGTCGTCGTCCGGCGTCGTCGTCCGAATACACAATGGTTTTCGCACTCTAACTTTAGTTTAAGTGAATGGATCTCTATGAAATTTTACCATAAGGTTCAATACCACAATAGGAAGGTGGGGATTGATTTTGGAGGTTATGGTACCAACAGTTAAGGAATTAGGGGCCAAAAAGGGGCCGAAAATAAGCATTTTTGTAACTTCCAGACATAACTTGTGTGTTAGCATAAGGATCTCTTTGACATTGTACCACAAGATTCCATATCACAAAGGGTCAATGCTGGGATTGATTTTGGGGTTAATTGCCTCAAAATTTTAGGAATAAGGGGCCAAAAGGGGGCAAAAAACAAGCATTTTTCTAGTTTCATGACAATAGCTTGTGTGTAAGTGTATGGATCTTTCTGAAATTTTACTACAAGGTTCCATTTCACAAAGGGAAAGCTGGAATTGAGTGTTGTGGTAATTGCCCAAAACATTTAGTAATAAGGGGCCTAAAAAGGGGTTTAGAATAAGCATTTTTTAGTTTCTAGACAATAACTTGTGTTCAAGTGTATGGATCTCTCTAAAATTGTATTACAAGGTACCATACCACAAAGGCAAGGCTGTTATTGAGCTTGGTTTGGGGGGAAAGGGGGGTGGGGGTGATGAATCATAAGGGGGCGAGGGTCAAAAAAGGGGTAATTTTTTTTTTTCCTTTTTTTTTTGTTTAAAATTTACATTTTAAGTTAGTTATTTTTTATCACGAAGAGAAAGTAGGAATTGAGTTTTGGGGTTAATTGCTCAAACATTTATGAATAAGGGGGGGGGTTATGGCTCTAATGTTTAAGGAATAAGGGGAAAAAAGGTTAAAAAACAAGGGTTTCCATTTTAATAGACAAATAATTAAGTAAAGAACATTATTTAAAAGCAGTGTAAGGTTGGTAATTCAAACTCATTTAAATATCTCATCTACACTGCTTTTAAATTATGTAAATTGGAAATTTGCCAATAACTTTATTGTTAATAAATGCATTGGAAATTTGCCAACAATTTTAGTGTAATAAACTTCATTGGAAATTTGCCAATATAAAATTTTGCTGATGAAGGTTTTTTGTTTACCTTTAGCCTTGACTATGAAGTCATTTTCTATTTTTATAGCCTTATGATGTAGTTGAATTATTTAATACTTTTATGATGTGTTTAAATGGGGTTTTATCATGTTTATGGTTGCAAATTTATTGTTTTAGTATAATAAACTCCATTTAAAATTTGCCAATAAAAAAAATTTTTGTTTATTTTTAGCTATGATTATGATGTCATTTTCTATTTTACTTTTATGGTTGCAAAGAAATTTTTATTTTTAGATATTACTGTTAAATGATGCTGATTAAGGTTTTTGCTATGTTTAGCCATGACTATGATGTCATTTTCTATTTTAATATCTGTTATGATGTATTTAAATGGGCTTTTATGGTTACAAAGAAATTTTATTTTTAGATATTACTATAAAATGTTGCTGATGCTGATTAAGGATTTTGTTTATTTTTAGCCATGACTATGATGTCACTTTCTATTTTAATACCTTTATGATGTATTTAAATGGGCTCCCATGTATTTAGATTTTTGATTATTTATACATGTTACCAAATTGGTCCACATTGAACAAAAACAGTCCAAATTTCAACTTTATTACATTACATCAAACATTGAATTCTACATATTCTTTGATATATTGAAATTAACAAACAATTTAGTTTATGGATATTCCACCATAATAGGTAAATTAAATTTTTTCCAGTTCTTACACCACATTCATCCTGTGTCAGAAACCTATGCTGTGTCAAATATTTAATGACAATCCAAAGTCATAGCTGTATCAAGCTTGAATTTTGTGTCCATACTTGCCCCAACTGTTCAGGGTTCGACCTCTGCGGTCGTATCAAGCTGCGCCCCAGCGAAGCATTTTATTATACGCCTGTTTACGGGACGTATTATGGTATACCTTTGTCCATCTGTCCGTCCGTCAACATGTCAGACATTAACTCAAAAACGTTTTAACCAATTTGCATAAAACTTCAGTGAATTATTTATATCTATTGACGTGAGCTCTCTTTCGTTTTTTTATAAATTTTAGATTTTACGTTTCCGAGTTATGGGGTTTTATTCATTAAAAAAAGGGGGATTTTCCAGTTTTCGGACAATAACTCAAGAATTCTTTAACCAATTTGCATAAAACTTTGGTGAATTGTTTATATCTATTGACGTGACCTCCCTTTCGTTTTTAATAAATTTTAGATTTTATGTTTCCAAGTTATGGGGTTTTATTCTTTAATAAAATGCTCCGCAGGGCGCAGCTTGATACGACCGCAGAGGTCGAACCCTGAACAGTTGGGGCAAGTATGGACACAACATTCAAGTTTGATACAGCTTTGCATTTGGATTGTGATTAAATATTTGACACAGCATAGGTTTCTGACACAGAATGAATGTGGTCTAAGAACTTAAAAATTTTAAATTGGACATTCACCTATTATGGTCCAATATCCAAAATCTAAATACATGGTTAGATTCAGCATATCAAAGAACCCCAAGAATTCAATTTTTGATGAAATCAAACAAAGTTTAATTTTGGACCCTTTTGACCTCAATGTGGACAAAGTTGATAACGGGGCCCAAAATTCAAAAATCTAAATACATGGTTAGATTCAGCATATCAAAGAACCCATATATTCAATTTTTGTTGAAATCAAACAAAGTTTAATTTTGGACCCCGATTTGGACCAACTTTGAAAACTGGGCCCATAATCAAAAATCTAAATACATGTTTAGATTCAGCATATCAAAGAACCCTAAGAATTCAATTTCTTTTAAAATCAAACTAAGTTTAATTTTGGACCCTTTTTGACCTTAATGTAGACCAATTTGAAAACGGAACCAAAAATTAAGAATCTAAATACACGGTTAGATTTGGCATATCAAAGAACCCCAATAATACAATTTTTGATGAAATCAAACAAAGTTTAATTTTGGACCCTTTGGACCTCAATGTGGACCAATTTAAAAACGGGGCCCAAAATCCAAAAACTAAATACACGGTTAGATTCAGCATATTAAAGAACCCCAAGAATTCAAGAATAAAACCCCATTGAAATTGGTCAAGAAATAAGCAATTTATAAGAAGTATCTTCTTTTGCACAATACTGTGCAATTAAATATTTCTTGCTATTGCGCAATACTGTACAATTGACAATTTCTTGCTATTGCGCAATTTTGTGCTATTGGATATTTCTTGCTATTGCGCAATACTGTGCAATTGAAGATTTCTTGCTATTGCGCAATACTGTGCAATTGAAGATTTCTTGCTATTGTGCAATACTGTGCAATTGAAAATTTCTTGCTATTGCACAATACTTATTATATAATAATTTACACATCCTGTTTGGTGTGTATCTCCTACCATATCATTATAATTTGCTTTTAAATATAAATCAGAAATAACCAACTTAAAATGGAAAATTTTAAAAGAAAAAAAAAAGGAAAAAAAGAAAAAAAAGGAAAAAAAAAAAAAATCCCCCCCCAAATTTTTTGAACCCCCTTATGATTTATCACCCCCAAACTCAATCCCAGCCTTCCCTTTGTGGTATGGTACCTTGCAGTACAATTTCAGAGAGATCCATACACTTGAACACAAGTTATTGTCTGGAAACTAGAAAAATGTGTTTTTTGGCCCCAAATTCCTAAACAATTAGGGCAATTACCCCCAAACTCAAACCCAGCTTTCCCTTTGTGATATGGAACCTTGTAGTACAATATCAGAAAGATCCATACACTTACACACAAGTTATTGTCCTTAAACTAGAAAAATGATTGTTTTTTGCCCCTTTTTCCTAAAATATTGAGGCAATTACCCCCATCATCAATCCCAGCCTTCCCTTTGTGGTATGGTACCTTGCAGTACAATTTCAGAGAGATCCATACACTTGAACACAAGTTATTGTCTGGAAACTAGAAAAATGCTTATTTTTGGCCCCTTTTTGGCCCCCAATTCCTAAACGTTGTGGGCAATTACCCCCAAACTCAATTCCAGCTTTTCCTTTGTGATATGGAACCTTGTAGTACAATTTCAGAAAGATCCATGCACTTACACACAAGTTATTGTCATGAAACTAGAAAAATGCTTGTTTTTTTGCCCCTTTTTTGGCCCCTAATTCCTAATATTTTGAGGCAATTACCCCCAAAATCAATCCCAGCATTCCTTTTGTGATATGGAACCTTGTGGTACAATGTCAGAGAGATCCATACACTAACACACAAGTTATGTCTGGAAGTTACAAAAATGCTTATTTTTGGCCCCTTTTTGGCCCCTAATTCCTTTACTGTTGGTACCATAACCCCCAAAATCAATCCCAACCTTCCTTTTGTGGTATTGAACCTTGTGGTAAAATTTCATAGAGATCCATTCACTTAAACTAAAGTTAGAGTGCGAAAACCAATGTGTCTTCGGACGACGCCGGACGACGCTAGACGACGACGAAGACGACGCCAACGTCATACCAATATACGACCACAAAATTTTTTTTGCGGTCGTATAAAAAAGGGGGATTTTCCAGTTTTCGGACAATAACTCAAGAATGCTTTCACCAACTTGCAAGAAATTTTGGTTAATTGTTTATATCTATTGACATGAGCTCTCTTTTGAGTTTTATAAATTTTA